TTTAAGATTTTATTTTTTTAAAGATGTGATGTTAGTAGTAATAATTATAATTATAATTATTAATTATGTGTTTAAATTATTTAATTGTAGTGATTTATTTTTTTAAAAAAAATTTTTAGCAAGATAATTAATTTTGCAGTTGATAATGGAAAATCCAAAGAAAAATATGGACCTTTATCTAAAGTTTGAATTTATTTTTTTACTATAATAATAATTATTATGATGACAATTGATTTCAGCCAGTTAAAACAAAAACTTTAATTTTCAATTAGAAAATAAAGAATGAAAGGTCACAAGAAGAAAGATTATATAATTTGATGGAGAATACATTACAAATACTTGAAAACCTTAGAACAATGCCAACAGATTCATCAGAGATTGATGAATTTTGGACAAGTCACCCAGCACCTAGTAGCAGTAACAATTCCAAGGAATTAGATGAAAAAAAGAACAAGAAAAATGTTGATGATTATGATTATGATTATCTTTTTGGTAATGATGAGAGAAATGATGAGGATGAGGATGAGGAGGATGAGGATGAGGATGAGGAAAATGATGATGGAGATGGAGATAATGAAGAGAATTCAAACAAAAAATCAGTTTTATTACAATTGGGTGCTCATCGAAAAGTATTCTCTGATTGTTGGCTAAGTTTTTTTAAACTTCCAATGACAGAAGAATCATACAAGAAAATCCTTTCAATTATGCATAAAAAAATAATTCCTCATATGAAACAGCCTACTTTATTAATGGATTTTCTAACAGATTCTTATAATGCAGGTAAAAAAATAACAATCATTGATTGCTATATAATTGTTTTTATTATTATTAATTATGATTACTGATGTTGTTATATTTAGGTGGAGCAATTAGTTTATTGGCACTTAATGGGCTTTTTACTCTTATTAATGAACACAACTTGTTAGTTATCTGTCATTATTCAAAATATCAATTTAGCAAAGGAAAATTACTAAAGCCTTTTGTATAATTTTTTTGATTTTTTAAATCAATATTCAGAGATTACCCAGATTTTTACAAGAAATTATATAATTTATTTGATCGTAATTTGATGCATGTGAAATATCGATCACGATTCTTTCGATTAGCTGATTTATTTCTTTCATCTACGTATGTATCACCAAATATACAGTCAAACATACATATATCTAATATTCATCTAATATATATATCTTTCATATATATATGTGTAGACATCTTCCTGTTCAACTTGTTGCAGCATTTATTAAAAGAATGTCACATCTTTCACTCACAAGCCCACCAAATGGAATTGTAATAATTATACCAATGATATATAATTTAATAAGACGACACCCACCTTGTATGGCATTAATTCATAGGCCTAATTCAATAAATCCTGAGACTGGTAAATTATTTATAAATTAATAAAATGACAATTATTGAAACAATATTAAAAAATATTTTTTAGATTCAAAGGAAGAAATTATCTTTAAAGACCCATATGATTTTTATGAACAAGATCCATTGAAAAGTAATGCAATTGACAGTTCTTTATGGGAATTAAAGGTATGATTAGCATATTATTTATTTATAGAGGAAATTTTATGCAAAAGAGTAATTGTGTTAATAATAATATTATTATTATTACTAATTAATAAAAGACATTACAAGATCATTATTTACCAAATGTTGCAGCATTAGCCAAAATCTTTCAAGATAAATTTACAAGGACTCAATATAATCTAGAAGATTTTCTGGATCATACATATTCTACTGTAATTATTAATTTAATTTTTATTTTCATTGATATATGACATGGCATTTTTCTTTTGCTGATAATTCTTGTAAAAAATAAAGTTATTTAATTCAGAAATCAATAAGAAATCCAAGAAAATTCCAGCACTTGCTTTTGAAAAACCCAGCTTTGTATTTCCAGTATTAGAAGAAAATATTGACTTTGGAATTGGATTTTGATTTATTTAATTGATGAAATATCAAAAATACAATAAAATTATAAATTATAACAAGTTTAATAATGATTGTAAAGTGCAAGCTAGCTGACAATGAACTTTCTTTATATTGATGAAAATAAATATTCACTCTATTGTTATTACTAATCACATTTTAAATTCCTGTCTTTATTAGCAACATAATTAATCATAACATAAAAATTTATTTACATTTAATTGTTTGTTCATTAAAATAAAATCAATAAATTGGTAGATTTTTGTCTTGAACATTGTTCTCTGACACTATTTGCTATGTGAAATTGTATGCTTGAAATTAAATTCTACAGTAATTTGGTTTTTTATCACAGGTATAGAGATTACAATGATCTTTGGTATTTGAATGTTGAATAAGTGAATCATGCTTCAACCAATCACAACCTTTTTGAGTATAGCAGTTTTTTGATAAGATGTTTCATCACCATGTACAAAGCATGCAACCATCTTCTTCAGTTTCTTCATAACATACCATTCATATTCTTCTTTTCATTTGAGATTAAACTTAAAATTTGTTTTATCAAATTGATTAGATTCATTATCAACCAATCTCTGAAAAGATTATATTAATGACTTTTCTTTTTTCTGTTTCAGATTGTTATTGATGTTGAAAGGAGCTGTCAAAATCATGAATTGTGTAGATTTTTTTATTTAGTGACTATGGTTGCTTGCCAAAACTCCACCAGAAATTAATTGGCAGAGTTTGACAGTTACACACTTTGTTTATTAAAATTTTGGAAGAGTTTCTCATTTGTGGGTTTTGGCAATTGGAAAATTTTCAGCAAGATACACACTAATTGTTTATTAGAGTTTTGGCAAGAGACCTTATTTGTGACTGTAAATTATTAGCTTACATGGCCAATCAATATGATTTAGTACACTGAATTAAAAGTTTAATAACTGGATAATTGGTCAAATTAAAACTTTGGTATTGGATAATTGGTAAATAAATACCATCTATCCCAGTGTGTATTTGAATATTTGATGATACAATAAAGTATAGTACCTGGATGATTGGTCAAATCCTTTCTGTTAATGCTTATTATTAACAAGTATACAGTGTGTTTCAAAAAAATGGCAGTTTGTAAAATATTTTTAATGAAAAGTAGCCAAAATTATGTA